TTCTGGTCGTCCTTGAGTTCATCGTCCTTGAGTTCATTTCCTTAAGTTGTTTTTCTGTTTTGTTTTTTCGGGAATTGACCATCTTATCCAGGGTTTCAAACTGAATGGCACAGAGTTAGTCCCACTATCTCAGGCTTAGAAAGAGTCTATCCTTCCAATAATAAGGAAGAAGGGCAAGTTCAAATGCTCCATCAGCACTCCCGGCCCAAGCTCTCCCACCCTCTGCAATCAGGGCATGTGTTTGTCAGGGATAGGGGCTTTAGGGACTGCCCTGTACTGCCCGCAAGCCGGAGGGGCAGTGGTGTAGAGGCCAGCTCTGGAGTTGAATTACCTGGATTTCTCTCCTTGTTCCAATCTGGGCACACGTACCCTCGGTCTTCTCCTCTGTAAAATGGGTAGAACAGCCACAGCTAGCTCTCAGGACCATATGAGAATCACAAAAAGTGCTCTGTAAACCCCAAGGCCTCATCAAAGAAGAGTTCTTATCCTATAAAACTTTGAACTTAACTCATTTCACAAACTTTCCCCGTTAGGATGTTCACGAATGCCAACTCAAGGTCCAGAGCAGAAGGGCTTCCACTCAGTCAAGGACCATCAACTGCCATTTTCATCTCAACCCTCCTGGTGCTCATTAGCCTGGAGCAGTGGATCTGCAAGTGGGGTCCCCAGACCAGCGGCAGCATCTGGGAAACTTCTAGAAAGGCAGACTCCTGGGATCTACTCGACCTCTACTGAAACAGACCTCTGGAGGGTTGGCAGAACAACCTTGTGTTCTGACACACCCTTCGGGGACTCTGATGCTGGCTCCACGTGTGAGAGCCCTAAGTTCTTAGATGCCACAGGGCCCTACCGACGCTCCTGCTGAGTCCTGAGGTGCTTTTAAAACACGCTTACTCCCCGATGATCAATGAAGGGCAAAACAATAAATTGTGCAGGAAGAGGCGTGGGAAGAGATAAACAAACATTATAGAAGTGAAAGCTGAGATCATTTTAAAAGATCAATGGACAGAAATGGCAAATGCTGCCTGTTTGTGTGGGGTGACTCATTCAATGATAGGAACCATTCTGAAAACACTGAACCAAGCAGCATCTGAGCTGCAGGGCCCGCACGACAGGCAACAGTCGTCAGGACGCAAGGGAACGGCTTCTCAGAATTCCAAGACAGCGCACATGAGGCCACGGGCTCAGCACCAGCGCTCGAAGCTCACCAGCTTCAGGGACATTCAGAGAACGCTGGGCGCCTGCGGCAGTGCTCGTGCTCGGGGCGGAACGCTGGCTCGGAGTGAGGGATGCTTCCACAGGTTAGGGGCTCACTGAATCTGTAAAGTCCTGGTGCTCCCGCCTGCTCAGACAAGAGCGTGCCAACCGGTTCTCCTGGACCAGGCCATGAGAGAAGGCAGCTAACTCAACAGCTTTTCCATACAGATGAAACTGGTCTATTTTAGAGAAACAGAAAGAGGGAGAGAGAAAGAAAGAAAGAGAGAGAGAGAGAGATGCCTGGTGGACGAGTGCGTCAACAAGAAGAAGTGATGTCAGATTATAAACCTTTGGGGGACCAAATCCTATTCACACACAAGCTTAACATCTAACGTGTGACCGGCTCTACCAGCAAATGGATCCTTGAACCACTGCGGAGAAACCAAATACTTCCTCTGAGATGACCATATAGTTAAAATTCCGCATTGGAAATGCATAACCCACACCCTGCCCCTGAGATCTGGATTCATTCGACTGGGGTGGAGCCCATTTCTAACAAGCTCCCCAAGGGATACTGAGGCAGATGGTTCCGGACCACAGAGCCATTTGTCATTACCAGAGGAGTCCGAATCAAGAGCAGTACTCAGTCGTTGCGCACACTTCACAAACATTGCTGGGGAAAATGCAGGCTGAAACCAAAACACCACCCGCCAGAGCCCCGATTTAGCATTTGTTCCCACAGCACAGATCAGGGAAGTCAGCAGTAAATGAGTAACGTGTTACATAAGTTGCTTTTCTGTATGCAGAACCTTAATTCACCAACGAGAAGTTAAAATCATATAAAAAGCAACGGCCCACCCCCAAAACAAATGCTGGGAAAGCGAAGCCAGGATCTCCCCAGCCCCTTCTGGCAGCCAAAGATAATCCCGCCTCTGTGCTATAGACCCCACTGGCTCACCTCGAGCCACGAGGAACTGGATCCTCGGAGGAGGTGGGGAAAGGTGGGGAAGAAAACAACATTCAGATCTCTGCATGGCACGGACACCAGCTTCAACGAGGCTTTTCTCTGGTTTAAATCATAAGCAGAGCCAGGTTTTACTTGACTACACCTCTGACCCCTTGCTGACAAGTTCTGGAACCACAGAACCCCTCTGTCTTGAGTCCAATCTAAGAACCCCAAACCACTTTCTGTCTTTGGTACGGATTCCCAATCTTTTCCTTTCCCCCATTATCCTAACACCTAAGATAGTAAGCTAGTTCTAACTAGAGTGTTAAAGGCTGACAGTGCCTGGAGAATTTATCAGCCCAGTGATCACAGAGGATGTGAACGTGGGCCTAGCAAAGCTGTGCCATGCGTGTAATATACATGTTACTTCTTCCGCTGAGCTGGCCTCAGGAACCTCTCAACGCTGACCTGGAGCCAGCCACTCTCATCTTACTGGGAGAAGTCCCTACCTATCTTTTTATTGCTCCAAGCACCTAGTGTGGTGACTAGCCCTTAGGAAGTGCTAAAAATTAAAAAAATTTAAAAAATTTAAAAAAAATTAAAATTTTTTTTAAAAAGCGATGAACTGACTTAAACTGATGTCTGATGTGAGCCTTAACCGCCACCCCCGTTTTGCCACAGAGCACGTTTCAAACGCCTTAGAGTCACCTGGGGTGCTTATTAAAAACCCACCTTCTGGGCTCTGCCCCAGACTTTGTAAGTCAGATTCTATGGGACAGTCATTGTTAACAAGGCGCCACATAATCGTACACACATAAAATCTGAGAACCTCAGCCTTAACCTTACAGGGGAACGTCAAGGACACCCATACTATGCAATGTAATTAAGCCAAAGAGCCCTCTGAGAACACCCCCAAACGGAAAAAAACAGAGGTAGGCAGCTTGCTGCTCGCTATCCAGGTACACGCCCAAGTAGAGAACGTTCAACGTCGGGGGGAAAATGAGGCCAATAAGAGACCAGAGACGAGAAAGGTCTAGAGAAGCATTCTGGAGTGAAGACTGGGATTTAACAAGGCCAGCAGGCTCATCCTCACCTTCCCCCACTTGGCTGTGGGGCACCATGCCCCAGTGGGAGGTCATGAACCAGGGGGCATCGACGAGGCCCAAAGACAGAGAGCACATGGCTAGGAGCTTGCCCCACTTTGGAAAGTCACATGGAATGAGATGCGCACCTACACTTCTCTACCAATGTGCTTCTCTGTTGCACCCCCCAGGCTGGTGGCTACAGTCAGCAAACTGTCCCCCCTCGTGCTTCTCCTGCCACTCTTGGGGCAACCACGCTCTGAGCAGGGCAGAGGACGGCCACCAGCCAGGGTGCGGGGCATCATGCCCACACTCCTTGCGTCCACACCCAAGGAGCCTCAGAAACTCCCCCCAGCAGCCGTCCTCCCCAAGACAGGGAATTCCTCCGCCCCGGGCAGCTGTCAGGGGAACGTCAAACACGGATGTTTATGCCAGGCCTCATTTACACAAGCCCACTCCTCCCCGAGAGATGAATTTTAAAAACAAACAGCTTTTACATATGTTAGCAGGCAGAGTCATGTGAGCATCAGGGATCCCCAGACGGGAACGTGAGTCAATCTGGGGCAGACACTGCTAAATAAATCCTGTTTGGGTGAAATTCCTCTCTCTGGAGAAAGAGGAACCTCAAAGCAGATCGCTCAGATTCCCCAGCAAGACTCCCTGAAGACACCCCCGCTCGCTGCAGCGGGGGCAGGCCCTGAGCACCGCACACTCTGCCATCGCCACCGTGTTCCTGTGCGTTTGCCTCCGTCACGCCCCCTCCTGGGAGCTCTGCCAGCCTGTCCCACCTATGCCCCACACCCCCACGCCCACACACACTCTGGTTCCACCAAGGTGTCAGATGTCCCTTCTCTGTTGGGCACGGGTCGTCCACGCTCATCCCGAGGCTTAGGATTCTGGCAGCTAAAGAGAAAAACGCCACCAGCCAGACCACGGGGTATCTGAGAAACAAGGGTGTGCCCGCAACCTGTATAGACGGCTAACCCAGAAGATCCGGGCTGCTAAGGCCCCGGCAAGGAGTAATTTCACTACTAAGGAAATGTCGGGTTTGGGAGTTTTAATTACCTGGGTCACTGCCTCCCCTTTCCTTAACCTTACCTGTGGGCACTTGGTAAAAGGGAGGAATTCTGTAACCTTTGCTGGATTGCTTCATGGTGGAAGAAGGTGCAAACCCAAAGAACAGGCAGAGGGTGGGGTCAGGGCACCATCCAGGACCTCTGCAGACATGGGGCCAGATCCCCCCAGGCCAGCAACAGAGGACGCTCAAGAGGCTCCAGCATAAGAATGGGTCTGGAGAATTTCAAGTCCAGACTGGGTCTGAGAAGAGGGAGAGACCCTGCCTTTCTGGGCTATACTGCGAGGGCTCAATGAGAAAGCACGCTCTGCCCTGGGAAGAAAGCATGTCCTCTGGGGACAGGAGTCTCGGGTCCTGGAGGGTGACCTGAGACTTAGAGCTGCCCTCACAACGGGGGCTCAGGAGGGTTCCCATGGCCCTGGTGTGTTCCAGCAGTCAGGAATTTTCAGCCCATTATAGGCCTTGGCTGGAGCCTCAGTGGCTTGGCCTCCCCGCCCCCGCCCTGGGCACAGGTGCCTGTAACCAGCGCGGGCCTACGACCAAGGCCACATTGCCCTCGGTGAGAGAGATAGAAGGGGAATTACTACCTAGCTAAGGGTCAGCGGTGTTGGGGTGGAGGTAGATGGTGGAGGGGGCGGGTCTTACAGAGCTCCCTGGGCTGCATGAAAAGCCTCAGAGGAAGGAAAGGCAAGCCACGTACCGAGCCCATTCTCTGCCAATGCCGCGTGGTTGACGCCACATTCCGCCAGCTCCTGCTCTCCCACGTCATTCAAATCCAAGCCAGGCTGGTGGGACCCATTTCCAAAGTGCCTCTCGTCCTTCTCAGAGCCGGCATCCCCATTCTCCATGCCATTCTGAGCCTTTTTCAGCGGCATTATCTGCAAACCGCTGGGGGTAGTCCTGTAAGACACTGTCTTGGTGGCCCTGTCACCTCCCGCGGGGGGCTTGGCTGAATAGCCTTTTTTTGGCTTGGACAAGGAAGGGTTGATACGCTTCCGTTTGTGGGAAGTCCCTTTGCTCTTCCCAGATTCTGAAGGTCTGTGGGAGAGTTTCTCCACCGACGGGCCCCGGCCGTCACGCAGGAGCTTGGAGGCGCTGGCCTGCTTCCCTGACTTGATCCGTTTGTCCTTGGAAACGTGCAGCCCGTTGAATTCGTCGATAAACTCCTCACAGTGCAACAGGTGGTGCTCTGGCTCCCACGTGTCTTCCGTGCTTCCGTAGCCTTTCCATCGGATAAGATACTCCCATTTCCCTTTCTTGTTCTTCCTCTTGTCTACAATCCTTTCGACCTGGGACACAAGATAAGAAAGTGAGCAAAGAGAGGAAAGAAAGCAGAGAGGAGAGAAATTAGTCCTGGGGAACAAGAAGACAAAGCCCACACTCACAACAGAAGCACCTGCCCAACCCCGGGGGCAAGCCGTGCAACACTGGAAGCTGACACTTCCCAGGGGTGCTCAAGAAGGCTGGCTTATTTTAGGACACCACTGAATGGAACCAGAGGCACTCGGCTGTTTCCCATGACAACTGTGTGATGCCATGCCCGGCTGGTGGCATCTGCCTGTCCATCCGAGGTTTACTCTTGCTTGAAATCACAGTGCGAGCTTTCACTGAAGTTCTTTATTCATTTCATTGCACCAAAGTAAAATCAGACATTTAAAGACCAATTTGGTGTGACTTTTTCACCCTTACTTATGGTAAGTAACATTTATGGAGCACTTACATGGTAGGCACTATGCTAAATGTACCCTTATTTGTAATAATATGAATGCTTAGTCACACTCATTGGCCAGGTACTAAACACCGGGCACGGATGGTCCCATTTCATTTTCCCTTGACGACAATCCAGGGAAACAGGTGTTCCTTCTATCCCCAGTCTACACGGAGGAAATGAAGCTTCAGGGAGATTAGGTCACCCAACCAAGTTCCAAGCTAATAAGGGCAGAGCTGGGATTTGAACCACTCTTACCCCTGATTTATTTTCTTAATCACAAGGCCACGCCAACTTTCTCAACTACAAAAATCTTCCTTACTGTCCAAAACTGATTTGAATCGACAAAGCCCATTATCCCTCTCTGCCCCCAACCACAGTAAGCTCCCTCAGCCTCCAATGCAGGGCTAAGAGTTGAGACCTAAATCTCTATTTGTTGGGGTCTAAAGCCATGTGTCACTGTCTACATACCTTCAAACGTACAAAAATCTGCCCAGTTTCCAAGGATTCTCATGGGAGAGCACATGTAGAAAAATGCCAGTCCTAATGCTAATAACTGGTCAGTCAAGGGGAAGATTTCAACTTTGCACTAGATGTGAAATTCTTTAAATTAAAAAAAAAAATTCCCAATGCTCTACTCCCCTAAAAGCTAAATTTTGATGAAAAAGTAAAACACCTACATTCAAAAGTTCATTACATTTCAATATCAACACAATGGAATTCTGACCCAAAGAAATTAATGAACGAGGAATATGCCCTTGAAACTCATGAGTAGAAAAACAAGGTGAGAAAGAAGAAATGAACACAGGTTTAACTGATCATTTTTCAAGACGAGTACTAAGTGCATGGGGGTCCATTATAGGACTGTTATGTGTACATGTCTGAATTTTTATGATTAAAATTTTCCACAATAAAAAGTTAAAAAAAAAAATGTAGAAAAGTGAGATTGTTTCCCAATGGTTGATGTACAAGAGAGGCTATGGAAAATAATTAAATGATTTTCACTGCTTTGCACTTAATAAATATGCAAATGGCTAGGCCATACGGCCTCTTCATAACACTGCTTCTTCAGAGACAATTTAAATGGTTTCCTTAATTGATTTATCTACAATCAAATTGGCCTATTTCTATTAAAATTCCTTTCCTTACAAAATGCTCTGTGAACATCTGTTTTAGATTTATTACATAATTTTTAGATGTATCACACAAACTCTATAACAGTTTAAAAAAGTAAAACCATGCCAAACTAATGCAGCTTCCCAATCTCTGGATCAAGGAACGGGGCTAGCTGAGTTGTCACTTGTAATGATGTTTCAGAAAGTCCGGAGTCTCTTCTTTCTAGAAGAGCCTGCAGCCTTGCACATTTGGAGGTCTTTGAAGGGAAAAACACTCTGCAGGTTTATAGAGCGAGGAAGGTGAACAGTACCCTGGCCCTGCCCGAAATAGCAGCATTCTCAAGAACGCCAACCTAGGAGTATCAGAAGGAAGCCCAGATATTTCTAAGGAGCTAAGGGATTTGTGTTGGCATGGAGGTCTCCAGCTTCAGAAAGCATATGGAGACACTTCTTCCCCAGGATGAAGCAGAAAACCATGTTAGACAAACAGTCAACACAATGGGTAGGTGGGCAGGTGGATGGATGGATGGATGGATGGATGGATGGATGGATGGATGGAAAAATGGATGGCTGAGGGACGGATGGACACATGGGTGGAGTGTGGGATTGTGGGGGGAATGCAAGGATGGATAAATGGACAGATGACTGGATTCATGGGTGCAAGGGAGCGTAAAGACGTGAGTTCAGAAACGGATGTGTAGACTGATGGATGGCACTCACTTATCAAAACAGACCTAGTATAAGGCTATAGAACAAGCCTATCTGGTTTAAATCTCCTGGTAAGCCTTTTATTATGTGTTCTTGAGCAAGTTAAACCTCTTTAGGCCTCATGTGATTCATCAAGCAAGGAGGAAATGACAGCACCTACTTCACAGGGTGGTTGTGGAGAATATACAAATAAGTAGTTTTTCATTCCATAATAAAGGTCACTTAATCCTGCCTATCCTCCTGTGAATACAAACTTTGGTGGTATCCAGAGATAGAATGTTTCTCCACCCTGCAGAATATGACCCCCTAAGGATAATCAACTCCTCCCTGGGAAGGAGAGTCAACCTACTTACATAAGTCCTTCTAATTATGGGAGATCGCTATGCTGAGCAGCCTTACTCAAGAAGCCTGGGGAGTCAGCAAGGGCACAGTGTCCACACAGCTACTGAGGGCCACACTGCGGGTGGGGGACTTGGTTTCTTCCCTCCTAGTTACTGGAGGAATGAGTCACAAATGGGAAACAGAAGGGCCACCGCCACCACTTCTGGTCCCATGCACAAAGCCACTGGTAGTCTGACAGCCATTTCTACTTAAATTAACCCAATACCAACAACAAATAGTATTTTTTAAAAATATTTTCTTTATTTATCTAGAGAGAGTGTGTGTGTGCACATGAGCAGGGGGAAAGGCAGAGGGAGAAGGAGAGAATCTCAAGCACACTCCATACTGGGCATGGAGCCCAGTGCAGGGCTCAATCTTACCACCCTGAGATCGTGACTTGAGCTGAAACCAAGAGTTGGGTGCCTAACCTATTGAGCCACCCAGGTGCCCCCCACAACAAATAATATTAACAGGACCATCCCTAATAGCCTGATGTGTAGAGGGAAACTATTGGCTCTGCCACTTTCTATCCACATGACCCTGGGCAAGTTGCCCAATTTCTCTGGGCCTCAGTCTCCCCGTCTGTAAAATAGGTTCACAAAGACTATTTCTTTCAGGTTCACAAAATGAACTGCTTTTATTGAAAGACCAAAATGCTCACAAGGAGCTCAGAAGAAAGTTGGCTCTGAATTTCCCATCATACAAGTATGCATGTCCCTGCAATCTCCTGGGACCTAATTTCCTTCTTTACATCCCTATATAGGTTTTCTGACCCTCTTTTCCTCTTCTTCTCAGGAGACTCTCAAACAGAACCAGAATTCTAATTTGTACTGGTGATAACAAAAGCCCACGTTATTTAGGACGTGGTCTTGCTAAGGCTCCCCCAGCCTCCTCAGCTGTCCCCTAACACCTCACACCTCCTGAAAACACAGACCCGGGCCTCCAGCTTCTGGTGGCCCCATCCTGTGCCCTCTCCCACCTCACCGGCACAAGGCCTCCTGCACCACCTGAAACCCAGTCCCTCCAAATGAAGACTGTCATCAATTCCCTCCCCTTGTAATTACTGACAAACACATGAATGATATTAAAAACTCATGGGCTCACACACACCTACCAGGTCCTTTCTTTCAAAGATAAGCAATCTGAAACCTTGAACTGTTTCTCAGAGTTCAGCCAAATTATTAATTAACATTTACTCCCTGTGATCCCAGCCAGCATGAGACACTCTCCTATGGCAGGCGGGGACAGGGAGCTTCCAATGCAATTATTACCAGCACCACCATGACGAGCGGATGGCTGTCTCATTAGGAACAGTAATGATGATAATCACCTTTACTGGTACATGCTGTCCCAGGAACTGTGCTGAGCACTTATGAGTTTTGAGACTTCACCTTCATACCCAGGCTGGCAGCTGGGCATGACCCTCACCCTTGGACATGGGAGAAAGCTGAGGCTCAGAGAAGGTAGGTGACTTTCTCTGGATCACAGAGTCAGTAGGTGGTGAGCCAAGATGGGACCCCTCACTCGTGAGTCTCCAGCCCAAGTCCTCAGCCCCTGGGCCACATCTCACCAGGAGGAAGCCATCGGGCTGGGGCAGGGGGGACACACTCCTTAAATGAGCCAGCATAAAGTAACGTGTGGAAACAAGTGACAGTGAAAAGAATGTAAGACAGGAAACAGTGACGGAGGGAACAGGGCTACTCCACGTCAGATGGGCAGGAAAGGCTCCTATGAGAAAGAACAAGTTAAGCTAACACCGAATAGGGCCTTCAGAGGTGGAAAAAATTTGAACCAGGGACAGGCCTTTCCAAGTAGAGAGAGGTCACTCCCCACCTTCCTCTTCAGCCTTCCACTAACAGGCGGGTCAAATGTATGTGATACCTACAGATTGACTATATATCATGTACACAGACTCATTCAATTTTCCAAATAAGCCAATGAGGCAGGTCATTTTATTCTCTCCCTTTTTTAACAGAGGATAAAACTGAGGCACCGAGAGGTTAAGGCCCTTGGCTAAGACCCCACCTCCGACAATCAGTGGAGAGCGAAGACTTGGCCCAAAGCATCTTGGCTCCAAACCCCATGCTTTCAGTGAGTGCATTACACCCACTATCCACTCATGCCCAGTAGGCCCAACCTGGCTGAGGACCCACCCTGACAGCGTATCTACAGTTTCAGACACTTGCCTCAGCACTGCCAAGGTCACAGAAGACCTAAAGCACCGATACGTGGCTTAGGAGTAGCATCTTGGGCCTGACTCTCCTAGCTTGCCAAGGGGGCCTCCCTCCCCTTCTGCTCCAATTCTGTTGGTTCAAATGGAAACAGATTAACCATCAATCATATTCCTACTCCAGCTTCCCACCAAACAAGAACAGTA